TCTCCCCTGCACTCCTATCCTCTGCAGCCGACCCTCTCCCCTGCATTCCTATCCTCTGCAGCCGACCCTCTCCCCTGCATTTCTATCCTCTGCTGCAGACCCTCTCCCCTGCATACCTATCCTCTGCTCTACTTCTGCTGCACACAGACATTTCCTAAGAACATCTTGTCTTTTGGAAACCTGATAAAATGTCACACTAAAAACATTCCCTCGACAATAAAGTTACAGCTTTGACCAAAATATGTCAAATGTCTTAATTTTCAGTTATTTTCTTCCTTTTGAATTCTTGGCTAAAACATCTGTTTTTCTCCTGGTTATGCTTATTTTCTGTGTGTGTGTGAATATAAGTGCCTGTCTGTAACGTATGTGTGGAGGCAGATGGCCAGTTCAGAGACTCCGCTGTGTGCTGGGCTGCACACCTGTACTGAGGTGAGCTCAGGCCCTCAGGCTCACATAGCAAACACTTTTCCAACGCAGTGCAGCCATCTTCCCAGCCCACAGGCTATGCTCTTGAAATCTGATTTGCCGACATTTAGATAAAGGTATAACATCCACCTAATCTCAAAAGTAGTAACTTTTCTAAACATGGAGCACAAAATAAACTGAGAGACTACTGTGGTCCCAGGACGTTATACCCGTCCTCCCAGACTCTGCACACAGCAGACCACGACAACTGTTCCACCCGAGGGCTCCAGTGCAGCAACCTGCAGCTTCTGGGCTCCAATGGGTAAGTTAATATGATTCATCAAAGATTTAAGAACTTGGAAATCCTTTTTTCTATGTTTTATTTTTGATATTCCTGACTTGTTGCACCATTAAATCATCTGCTACTTTATACATAAAGTACTATACTAAAAAAGAAAACAGACTCAAAAATCTGAACCTGAAATACTTAAAATACTTTAGTACAGAATTGAGAATAATGTTAATTAACAACAAACTTGTAACTTACCCTTGTTACATTTAAAATTTGGGTATATAAAAATTTACTTTTATTATTTTAAATTCTATGTGTGTGTGTGTGTGTGTGTGTGTGTGTGTGTGTGTGTGTGTGTAGGGAGGGGAGGGGACGTCATTAAAGGGTACTTCATCCCTCTGGAGTCAGAGCTATGGGGAGTTGTGAGCTTCCTAATATGGGGACTGGGAAGTGAACTCAGGCTTTCTAGAAGAACAGTATGTGCTCTTAACTGCTGAGCCATCTCTCCAGCTTCCGAATTTTACTTTTATAAACAAGAAATATCCATTTTCTTGGCATGGTAGTACAGACCTGTATTCCCAGCACTTAAGAGCAGAGACAGAATACCAGAAGGTTTAACATTATCTGTGGCTAGCTAGCAGGCCAGTCTGTCTCAAAAACAGCAAAACAACAACAAAAAATAAGAACTCATCCTATGTTATACTAGCAAAAACCACTAATGAAACCAACTGTGAAATATCTATATGACCAATAACATCACTCTAATACAGAAAAATACTTCTGACTCCCTAAATGATACACAACTAGATTGTTTTACTTTTATCATAAAGAAAACACTCTAAAATATGGTACATTTACACAATGGAGCACTACACAGCAGAAAAAAAAATAACGACAGGGCTGGAGAGATGGCTCAGTGGTTAAGAGCACTGGTTGCCCTTCCAGAGGTCCTGAGTTCAATTCCCAGCAACCACATGGTGGCTCACAACCATCTGTAATGAGACCTGACGCCCTCTTCTGGTGTGCATACATGGAGGCAGAATGTTGTATACATAATAAATAAACCTTTAAAAAAAAGAAAGAAAACATTATAAAAAAAAAAAACGGTATCTTGAATTTTGCAGGCAAATGGATGGAGCTAGAAAACATTATTTTGAGTGAGGTAACCCAGACACAGAAAGACAATTATCACATGTACTCACTCATAGTGGTTTTTAAACGTAAATCAAAGAAAGTCAGCCTACAAACCACAATCCCAGAGAACTTAGACAACAATGAAGACACTAAGAGAGACTTATATAGATCTAATCTACATGGGAAGTAGAAAAAGACAAGATCTCCTGAGTAAATTGGGAGCATGGGGACCTTGGCGGAGGGTCAAAGGGGGGGGGGGGAAGAGGCAGGGAGGGGAGCAGAGAAAAATGTAAAGCTCAATTAAAAAAAAAAAAGAAAGCATTCTACAAACTAGATCTTAATACTGACTTAAGTGCAGTAATTTTAAATTATTAGACAAAATACAAGAAAGGGTTGCTTTATTTAGTAAAAAGGAATTTGTTGGTAAAACGAAATGCAAAACAAAACAAAAATCTCTTTACAAATGAAGACTTTTCCCCAGCACTCAGGAAGCAGAGCCAAGTGGCTCTCTGCGTTCGAGCCTAGTCTAGCCTCAAGAGCAAGTCCCAGGACAGTCAGGACTACACAGAGAAACACTGTCTTGAAAAACAAAACAAACAAGCAAAAAATTAAAAATATTATCAGCATGACCAATCTAGTCACTTTTTAAGGCAAAGCCTGAGCTGTCCAAAGCTATAGATTCCTAATCTGTAAGGAATAAACACTTCAAAATGTAATTAATAGCCAAAAATATTTACGGAAACAACCAGCTTTCTTATGCTTTTCCAGAAAAGAAACAGAAAACATACATGTTTAAAAAATGATTTTGTTCTTTACTTACCATTTACATTCTATAATCCAAGCAGCAAAAGTTAAAAATAAATTGGTAAATATAACTTATCTCAAAAATTCCTTCATATTAAAGCAGCCTTTTCCTTAAGGTAAATTCACGACTTCTTTGAAGACTTCAGTACAAATGACGAGCATCACGTAAGACCCTCCACACTGACTTTACAGTTATTTCTTTGTAGAGGAGATCTAACACAAAACCATGGCGTATCTCTGGACTTGCCCCTGATAATCCAGGAAGGACAGCCTATTCCCTTATTCTTGAAGATTATTTTATTTCTAGATCAGCAGAATCTGAATCTCTAAGAAAGGTATGAAGATTTCAAGTCCAAATCCTTTGTTGGCATCTCAAAGGATCCACTGTAATTCGCTGATACCGGGGATAAGAATTATCTGGGTCAGAATTTTGCATAAAAGCAGCCATATACAATGCATGCATAAGGCGTCGAGTATTGCTAGACAATGTTTTATTTAAAAAAGTCAGATCTGATCTTTGGGCCACACTTTACTGATAAAGAAAACAGAGCTCACTAAAAACTGGTGGTGGCATAAAAGGGGTTTTGAGGAAAGAGAACAAAGATGAGAAGCAGAAATGCAACCTGCAACTCTTCAAATTAAAGACATCAATTTCTTAACTTTTAGCTACTTAAAACTTATGGATTTATCAAATATTCAAGAGTTTTCCAGGTTTATAAAAAATTAAAACCAACTCTCTTAAGAATAAACAGGCTATGGAAATTGGGCTAAGGCTGATGACTGAAGCGAGCTCTCCTCCGCTCCCACAGAGCAGCAGGATCACTTACAATCATGGTCAGTTTGCGGCTCTCCCGGTAGAGGCTGGTGTAGCCCACATAGAGCACCAGGGCAGCCATGCAGTAGAGGAACACGAAGACCGCAAAGGTGACGTAGAACTGCGCAGAGGAGGAGTAGTCGCCTATGAGGACGTGGTCCTCCCACGTCACATTACACACGCTGCCACCCGACTGCGAGTGGAAGGACGCCCGGTTCAACCTATAAAAAAAATACACAAACCATTGGACTCCAGCAGAGAAATACTGACATTTCAAAATAAATTCCCAAATATACTAAAAACATTCTCTTTTTAAAAAATATTCAAATACTTAACTAAACCAAAAACTTCTTACTACATGGACCCAGAAATTTGTTCAGTAATATGTTTATGACAGATTCACTATAAATGGAGTCCAACAGTTTTAACATTATTTCCATTCTAGGAGGAGAGGTCTGGGCCACTAGTTATAGGAAAACCAATGACAATCTTCTTCTTCCTTTTTTTTTTTTCTTTTTTAAAGATGCTGTCAACCAACCTGGAGACCCAGCTTTAATTTTTATTTCATGTGTGTGGATGTTTTGCCTGCATCAATGTCTGTGTACCACCTGTGTGCCTCATGGCTGAAGAGGCCAGAGGAAGGCAACAGATTCTCTGGAACTGGAATTCAGACAATTGTGAGCCATGTATGGGTGCTGGGAATTGAATCTGGGTCCTTGGAAAGAGCAGCCAGGGCTCTTAACTGCTGGGCCATCTCTCCAGCCCCACAAGTCATATTTAAACCTTGATTAATTAGTTGCTAAAGGAAAATTCACACTGCCTTACATTTACTCACTTGTAAATTATAAACCCAATTGTCATTAAGGACGATGGTTACTGTAACCAAACGAGTAAGTGGCAGAAAAGATTAGATGGTTACTGAGCGCTCAGGATACACAGACCTTTAATGTAATATTTTATTCATAGAGCGCAGCAGTGCAGGCCTTTGGTCTTAGCACACAGGGAATAGAGAGAGAGGCAGATCTCTACAAGTTCTTGGGCCAGCCTAGTCTACACAGCAAGTTACTGACTAACAAGGGCTATATAGTGAAATCTTGCCTCAATTTTTTTATTTATCAAAATATCCTTAAAAGATTATACTTCCAATTTATTGGACAGAAAATTGAGTCTTTGTGAGATATCAAGTAAAGCCAAGCAGAGACACAGATGTCCCCCACAGACCTTCCAGTGGAAACAAAGTCACACGAAAGAGACCTGCGCTGCTATGCGCCTCTCAAAGTCCTCTAAACGTAAAATACATATGGTTTTATACTTGAGAAACAGTATACTTTGTGTATGTCTTAAAATGACACAGAACACTATTAGTTCAGGAACTGCAGAAGCATGCGGAATGTGTGTTTTGATAAACCGAGTTTGCTCACTAACAGAATAGTCTCTACTTTCCTCCATTTCTGATCTACTATCATATGACAGAATGTCAAGACAATCACAGTATTATATGTTTCTAAACGTCCACTTTCTGCTATCATTTGATCTATCCCCCCCATCCCTCTCTACCTCTCTCTCTTTTGAGACAGGGTTTTCCTATGCTGCCTTGGAACTTGTAATGTAGACTGAGGCAGTCCTCCTGAGTGCTGACATTAAAGGCATGTGCCACCACACCTGCCTCGCTGCTGTGATTTTAGTGTGATAAGTCTTATGTCAGCTCATGTAATGAACGCTTGGCTCCCTGGTGACACTATCATGGCAGGTCCTGGAAACGTCAGCAAGGGGTTTTGCTGGAGGAAACAGGGCGTTTGGGACATGCTTGTTTCACCAGGAGATGAAGAGCTGCCTTTGCCACAAACTCTCTTTGTCGTGATTCTGCCCTAGGTCACAAGGCTGACTTACTACCATGGTACAGCCTCTCAAAACTGGGCCAAAGCAGTTCTTCCCTCTCTCATTTCTGTAAGGATTTGGTCTCAGAGGCTAGGAAGTAATAAAAAAACCTCCCCTTTGTATATTTTCTTCATCAGACACCAGTCAAAGTTTGCAGACAAGTGATGTGGGATTCCCATCTACCTGTGAATATGTTTTACTGCCACTGGTTAATAAAGAAGCTACTTTCAGCCAATGGCTTAACAGAGTAAAGCTAGGTAGGAAATCCAAACAGATGTAGAGAAAGCAGGCAGAGTCAGAGAGAAGCCATGTAGCCACCACAGGAGACAGATGCACAGGAACCTTGCTGGTAAACCACAAGCCTCATGATAAAATAGAAAATAATAGAAATGGGTTAATTTAAGATCAAAGAGCTAGTTACAAATACACTTAAGCTATTGGCCAAACAGTATTGCAAATACTATAGTTTCTGTGTGATTATTTTGGATCTGGGTGGCCAGGAACAAACAGTCTCCATCTACAGACAAGTACTGGTCTGTACCATAGTCTAAGTAAAAACTCACAAGTGAAGATCCAAATCCAAACTATTCTACCACCTTCCATGAGCAAAGGCTGGAGACTATGTCCCAGTTCACGCAGGTGAGAGCTGAGGCAGGCAGGGTCTGCTCCCCAGACCCCCTTGGGATGTCCTCCTGCCTTGGCTTCCCAAGTGCTGTGACTGCAGAGTACAGGCCTTTGCCACTGAGTCCAGACCAGCTGTCAGAACCTAGTGACTAAATATGGAGTTAAACAACTAAAAGATAACTCACCTGAATGGGTAGCCAAAAGCTGCTGTAATCGTCTTATTCGCAACACCTTTAGAAGGACAACTCACTTGAATCTCTGTTTTGCCCTTAAACCCGCCACAGGTGGCAAAAGCAAAGATGGAAGCAAACTACATAAAATGAGACCAAAACACAGAAAAAAAAGAGAAACATTACTATACCAAACAAAAGTCATTAAGACATAAGTACACTAATCATTAAACGCTGGCTCTCAAGTATTCTAGAAATTACTAGCCATATGCTAAAAACATTACAAAATGTGAGTCTATTTTCCTGAGTATATAAAATACAGTAGCCCAGACAATATGAAATTCAGAGAAGACTTTCGGGGCTTTGTGGCAGAGGCAGGACTGCTTTGAGTTCAAGGCCAGCCTGGTCCACATAGATGCAGAGAATTCCAGGACAGACAGATAATAGAGACCCGTTCTCAAAAACAAACAAAAACACAAAGCAAAGAAATTCAAATAAGACTCATTTTTCTCTATCAAAATTTTAAACAGGGGTAAAAGGAAGGCATTTTTGTTTGGGGCTCAAGTGATTGGTATACTGCTGGAAACGAGAAGTTGTATAGGATGAGACTCTTCTAACTCATGAATGTGTGAAATATCACTGTCAAGTATTTTTGGGTTTCAATACATATGCTTAAAAATATAATAATGCTTCCTTAAATTCTATTTATAACAGAGGAAACCCAGAAGCATGTTACGTATCGCTAGAGAGTCACATAAACTAGAATTCATTTATACAACAGGATAAACTTTTAATTACTAAAATATTAGAGATTATTTAATAGCAAAGCACATGCTCATAACATACAGAATGTTCATATAATACAGTATATATGTATCTGCATCTACACACAAAAAAGGTACAACTTTTTTATTAAATTTTTACTAAAATTTACATGAAAATTTTAATAGTGGTCGTTTCAGTACAACACAAGATACAAGATTTAATTGCTTTTTGTCTTCTAAATTTTTTCCACAATAAAAATACTTTGCTTTGGGTGCTATCATAACTAAAAATTCAGTAATTCAGTAAATGTCAATAGTTCTTTTTTTCAAAATACATGTGGAGCCTACCCATCACCTCCTAATCTAGATGACTATACATTACCTCTCGGCTGGAGTCTGCACTAACAGCCTCAATTCCGATTCCTTCTTTGCCACACTTCAGAGCCCTGCAGTGTGAACACATGTGTGAGGCAGACTACCTTCCCTGGGCTGAGCCCTGCAGTGTGAACACATGTGTGAGGCAGACTACCTTCCCTGGGCTGAGCCCTGCAGTGTAAACACATGTGTGAGGCAGACTACCTTTCCTGGGCTGTGAGCCCTGCAGTGTAAACACATGTGTGAGGCAGACTACCTTTCCTGGGCTGAGCCCTGCAGTGTGAACACATGTGTGAGGCAGACTACCTTTCCTGGGCTGAGCCCTGCAGTGTGAACACATGTGTGAGACAAACTACCTTCCCTGGGCTGAGCCCTCAAACACCCTTTACTTCCCTCATGTTTTTAACTCTGTTACACTGATTGCTATTTTCCCGTTACCTTAACTTTCTATACACTTTTTATCTGGGGGCTAGTCACTAAGCAACTTCTTCAGGGCCTTCCTTTGCTGTTTCCTCTGCCTGAAACATGTCCACTCCTGCACGTAATCTTAGCAGAGCTGTTCTCCTTCATCGCCCTCCTCTAACACTAACCCCTTGAGTGCTGGAAGCACAGGCAGGAGCCACTATACCCAGCACGTGTGTCTCCCATGCCACGTGCTAGAGACTGAATCCAAGACCTTGAGCAAGCTATGGCACATGCTCTACCACTATACCCTCAATCCCTCCCCCCCCCCACATTTTGGAGACTTAAAGGGCATGGGACCAATATAACCACATGACTGAGCTTGGAAGTGGAACTGTGGAGGCCAGTAGTCATGAGAGAGCCAGAGGCTGTAAGATTAATACAGCGCTGGCCAGTAGCTGAAAAGAACCTCAGAAGCCCTGAACCCAAAGACTTTGATTCTTTCCACATAGAAACCATGACGTAATAAATATCTGTGGTTTTAAGTTGCTGTGCTGGGGCAGTTTACTATACAGTGATAGATAACCAAGTAAAGGGCTAATCAATACATGGTTCAAAGGAGCCACAACCTAAATGAAAAAGCCTTTAAAAAGGAAAACCTGTAACCATGCAGAATTATCTAAGGCACTAACTATAAAACAGTTAATTTCAACTACAGAAGAAAGTTTAAAATTAAAAGTCAATTTTTGAATACAGAGCAAGGTACAAAGTAGATGAAATGCTTGTAATAAAAATGTTACAGAACTAGAGAGATGGCTCAGTGGTTAAGGGCACTTGCTGCTCTTCCAGAGGTCCTGAGTTCATTTCCCAGCAACCACATGGTGGTTCACAGCTATCAATAGTGGGACCTGATGCCCTCTCTGGCATAAGGCTGTACATGCAGATGGAGCACTCATAAACATAGAATAAATAAATAAATAATCTCTAACAAAGGTTTCCAAAGATCTAAGAGGAGACCCTTTCTCGTACTGAGCCTTCTCTATGAATGCTCACAGCAATACTGTTTATATCCAAGGGGAGGAGAAAGCAGCAGGAAAACTGACCATAGAAGCACTCTTACAGGGCAAACCAAATGAGATACCCTAGCTACCATCCTGTTCCCTGCCCTCTTGCAGTGTCCGCAAGCCATTTAAAAAATTTATGTGAGCGAGTCAAGAGTTTTGCTTATATGTGTCTGAGTACCACAGGATTGCCCGGTGACTCAGAGGTCTGAACAGTGTGATAGATCTCGGGAACTGGAACCATGAATGGGTGTGAGCTGCCGCACAGGTGCTAGGAATCAAATCTGGGTCCTTTACAAATACAAGTGCTTTTAATAGCCGAGCCATATCTCTAGCCCCTCATTCTTAAAAATCAAAACAAAACACCATAAAGAAAAAAGTTACAAGAACTACAGCTTACCAAATCACTATAAAGGAGTTGAAGAAACCTAATGCTGAATTAAAAAAAAAAAATCAGGTTGTGTAAAATTATACAGAATATGAAAACTTTCAAAAAAGTTCGTTAAAGATAAAGATCACTTTGCAAATGAGGCTGGCCTTCAACTCACAGAACTGTGTCTTCCTGTCTCCACGTCCTATGCTCTGGTTTACACCAGCATATTTAGTCTAGAGCCATTTAAAAGATGTTTGTATCACATCTACAACACTTTGTTTAGGCCCTTACTGGTTTTCACAGGACTCACTCAACAAACTTTTGCTGTTTCTAATTTCATTCCAATCAGCACACATCTTCCATTGTGTGGGCTCTAAAGCTACAGCATCCAATGAAACAGCCACCAGACACCAACGGTTGCTGAACTGTGAATGCTGCCATCTAAATTGTAACATGCTGTAAGTGTAAAATACATAAACTGGGGCTAGGAATGTAGTCAGCTGTTGTCATAGCTCGAGTTTCTATTGCTACAACAAAACACCATGACCAAAAGCAAGTTGGGGAGGAAAGGGTTTATTCAGCTTACACTTCCCCATTGCTGTTCATCACCAAAGGAATCAGGACAGGAACTCAGGCAGGGCAGGATCCTGGAGGCAGGAGCTGATGCAGAGGCCATGGAGGAGGGCTGCTTACTGGTTTGCTTCTCATGGCTTGCTCAACCTTCCTTCTTAAAGAACCCAGGACGGACAGCACAGGGGTGGTACCACCCAACACGGTCTAGGCACTCCACCATCAATCACTAATTAAGAAAATGCCTTATAGCCAGATCTTAAGGAGGCATTTCTCAACTGAGGTTCCCTCCTTTCAACCTATGGTTTGTATGGCAAACTGACGTAAGATTAGCCAGCACGGTTGTTAAGGTACAGCCCAGTACCCCATAAACTAGATATAGTGGTGCAGTCCTGTAATGCTAACATTCTGGGGGTGAAGAGGGCATCAGAAGGTCAAGGTTATCTTTGGCTACACAGCAACTTCAAGGTCACAAGACTGTCTCAAAAGACAAAAAGAAAAAAGAGATGATATAATGGGTTAAGCAAAGCATTAAAATTAACTTCACCTTTATGGCTAATACAAAATTAAATTACTCTGTAACGTATGTTTTTGTTTGCTGTGCTTTACTTTTTGGACAAAGTTACTTTAGAAATGATGTCACACTAATCTGAAATAGCAACCTGATCACGTAGCCTGGTTTAAAGGGAGTCCTCCAATGCTTTTCGGGTCTGTGTTTAAGAAACAAATTAAACACCTGCCACAGTTGTCATGAATGGCACAGCTACTGCAACCACAACCTTTTCTTTCCAGATTTAGCTGAACCACGCTCTCTATGAGGTACTGTTATGACTGACACACTCAACTTTTACTGCTTCTGGAACACACCAGGACTTATGCTAAGTTGTATGCACACACTCTACCTAATTCACTGAGGCCGGACTACCGACCTCCTGGACCGCTACAGACACTAGTCTATACCGCACTAACTCTACCACTAGAATTTTCCTTGTGCATTTTGTTAGGTAACCAAGACTTTGGTTTTTTAATACAGAAATTAGAGAGCATTGTACTATCCTATCAAGTGCTGCTTTCATGCTAGTAATTCTTGTATTCTTTTTACCCAGAAAAAGGAACAAGGTGCACGTTTATAATAACTGAAATACCCAAGGTAATTATTTGAGTAACCATACAACACTCTATTTTTATTGTACAGAATGTCTGACCAAGATTAGAAGTTATATACTAGCTGAGAGTGGTGGTACATACCTTTAATTCTAGCACTTGGGATGCACAAGCAAGTGGATTTCTGAGTTTGAGGCCAGTCAGAGCTACATAGCAAGTTCCAGGCCAGCCTGGGCTGTATAAGACCTTGTTTCAAATAACAAAAACCTAAACAAACAAAACCCCACCAAAACAGTAAGTTATATCCTGGCTGCCCACCAGTAAAGCCTGACTATGCTAGACTTGCATACTTCTTTCAGTATTTATTTTTAAAATGTGAATTTATCATTAAACTTGGGATGCTGCACATAAATTTGGGCTTCCTGCTTTTCCTGAGCACACATGGGAAAGCTGAAGATAACACAACATCAGAACCACACTCTCACAGAAAGGCAGTCGTACAGAACAGGAGTGACATTAAAAACAGGGCTGCCGCTTTCCAGACGGGCTCGCTCTCTGGTGTCTTGACAATCTGCAGGAAGCACGTTATACCTGGTAAGAATACTATTGTTTTTCCAGTCCCTCACTTTTCCTGAGGTGCTATGAACACGATAGTCTGTAACACAGTCAATAATGAACGACAATAATTCCTTGTCCCTTGTGAAATTTACTTTCCTCCGCTAACCAAGAATGAAAGCACAGACATGGAATTCTCTCTTCAGCTGAACGTCTTCTCAAACATTTTAACTTTTAAAAAAATTATTATTATTAGGGCTGGAGAGATGGCTCAGAGGTTAAGAGCATTGCCTGCTCTTCCAAAGGTTCTGAGTTCAATTCTCAGCAACCACATGGTGGCTCACAACCATCTGTAATGGGGTCTGGTGCCCTCTTCTGGCCTGCAGGCATACACACAGACAGAATATTGTATACATAATAAATATTTTTAAAAAATTATTATTATTAGTTTTTCGAGACAGGGTTTCTCTGTGTAGCTTTGGAGCTTGTCCTGGAAATCGCTTTGTAGGCCAGGCTGGCTTCAGACTCAGAGAGATCCCCCTGCCTCTGCCCAGCTACATTTAAACTTCCACTCACACAGTTTTAGAGTAATTAGAACTTTACTGCTGGGCCTGCATGTTAAGAAGGTCGTATGTGGATGCAGTGGACTAGCTATGTTCTGAATCCTACACCTGGAAGAACAGAGCAATAACCTCACTTATTTTCTCGTTTTTAGTGTTCATATATCCAATGTGAGTATCCCTGTCTAGACAGGTTTATGGAATAAAGTAGCTGTAACCAAATGAACCTTTACAAAATGGATAAGTGGTCTGAAACTATGTGCTAGGATGTGTGGACTGATAATACATTCACATACAAAAGAACTAGAAGTCACACTGTGAGATAAAAACAGATTCTACTTTATCAAACTAGAAAAAAATGATTGCAATATGAGGATTTAAAAAATATAAGCTAGCTGTGGTGGTACATATTTTTAATTCTAGCACTCAGGTGTTGGGAGCAGAAAGATCAGGATTTCAAGGC